TCATATTATTTACCACCGAGAAATTCATCTTTCGCCATTCCGTTTGATTATCAAAACGTATCGCCATCTGTTGTACGCCCAACGGTACATTGGTATGCAGTACGTTGTTTAATATAGCCGTAAGTATAATGAAATTAGCCTTTAAGATGGCCATATTTGCGTCGGTTGGATTCTTCTAAGTGGATACTGATTAGGATAATATCTCTCAAAGCCTTTATCCCAAAGACTTAAATTTGATAGGTCTTTTAAAACTTGTTTTTTATCTTCATATAATTTTATGTCTCTTCTTAGTTTTTGAACTTTCTCTGCAAACTCTTCAATTTTACGTCTATTCTCTTCGCTAGACATCTCAATACTGAATACTATACTTATTTTACTAATATTGTCGGGTGTAGGATACGCCTCCTCTCGGAGATCTAGGTTGTTAACCTTGGCGCTCGGCCAACCCAGCTGTAGTAGTAGCAGTAGTTATTGTACCCTCGATACTAGCAGAAACTAACAGTCAAACGTCAAACGTGAAACGTCAAACGTGAAACGTGAAACGTCAAACGTCAAACGTGAAACGTCGAACGTCAAACGTCAAAACGGTAAACGTCAAACGTGAAACGTCAAACGTCAAACGTGAAACGTCAGTCGTTAAACGTCAAACGTCAAACTTTTCGGTGCACATACCTTGCGTGCGTCGCGTGCGCTGCGTGCGTTGCGTGCGTTGCGTGCGTTGCGTGCGTTGCGTGCGTTGCGTGCGTTGCGTGCGTTGCGTGCGTTGCGTGCGTTGCGTGCGTTGCGTGCGTTGCGTGCGTTGCGTGCGTTGCGTGCGTTGCGTGCGTTGCGTGCGTTGCGTGCGTTGCGTGCGTTGCGTGCGTTGCGTGCGTTGCGTGCGTTGCGTGCGTTGCGTGCGTTGCGTGCGTTGCGTGCGTTGCGTGCGTTGCGTGCGTTGCGTGCGTTGCGTGCGTTGCGTGCGTTGCGTGCGTTGCGTGCGTTGCGTGCGTTGCGTGCGTTGCGTGCGTTGCGTGCGTTGCGTGCGTTGCGTGCGTTGCGTGCGTTGCGTGCGTTGCGTGCGTTGCGTGCGTTGCGTGCGTTGCGTGCGTTGCGTGCGTTGCGTGCGTTGCGTGCGTTGCGTGCGTTGCGTGCGTTGCGTGCGTTGCGTGCGTTGCGTGCGTTGCGTGCGTTGCGTGCGTTGCGTGCGTTGCGTGCGTTGCGTGCGTTGCGTGCGTTGCGTGCGTTGCGTGCGTTGCGTGCGTTGCGTGCGTTGCGTGCGTTGCGTGCGTTGCGTGCGTTGCGTGCGTTGCGTGCGTTGCGTGCGTTGCGTGCGTTGCGTGCGTTGCGTGCGTTGCGTGCGTTGCGTGCGTTGCGTGCGTTGCGTGCGTTGCGTGCGTTGCGTGCGTTGCGTGCGTTGCGTGCGTTGCGTGCGTTGCGTGCGTTGCGTGCGTTGCGTGCGTTGCGTGCGTTGCGTGCGTTGCGTGCGTTGCGTGCGTTGCGTGCGTTGCGTGCGTTGCGTGCGTTGCGTGCGTTGCGTGCGTTGCGTGCGTTGCGTGCGTTGCGTGCGTTGCGTGCGTTGCGTGCGTTGCGTGCGTTGCGTGCGTTGCGTGCGTTGCGTGCGTTGCGTGCGTTGCGTGCGTTGCGTGCGTTGCGTGCGTTGCGTGCGTTGCGTGCGTTGCGTGCGTTGCGTGCGTTGCGTGCGTTGCGTGCGTTGCGTGCGTTGCGTGCGTTGCGTGCGTTGCGTGCGTTGCGTGCGTTGCGTGCGTTGCGTGCGTTGCGTGCGTTGCGTGCGTTGCGTGCGTTGCGTGCGTTGCGTGCGTTGCGTGCGTTGCGTGCGTTGCGTGCGTTGCGTGCGTTGCGTACGTGCGTCGCGTCCGTTGCGACCGTTGCGTGCGGCGTCGTGGCGCTGTCGTATTCGCAGCCTTTCTGGGAACGCAGGTCGCCAGGACGTCGGATTCCCAGAACGGTGGATTCCCAGGACGTCGGATTCCCAGACCGTCGGATTCCCAGACCGTCGGATTCCCCGACTGTCGGATTCCCAGGTCGTCGGATTCCCAGACCGTCGGATTCCCAGGACGCCAGGGAAAAGACGGATACTCATTCGAATCTGTGGTCACGATTGCTGTTATTAGCTAAGGTCATCTGTCAACCCATCACCCCGTCATCGGTCGCCTTAGGTCGAAAATGACGGGAATCCGGTACTCCAGCGATCCGTCAACTGTCGCCTGGAGACTTAAAGAAAAACATGCGCACTAAGCGGAAAAAGTGGCTTCGCCACCTCGGCCCTTTTGGCACTTCATTAAATAAATATTGCTCCCTTACGACTCGGGGTAAACATCATCATTTTTGCTATTTATCTTGACAGCAAGAAGAATGCGGTAGTGGTAGTGACGTTCGGTGTGGGTCTAGATGGGGCCTTGTGTGGCTAACGTAAAATGTAGGAAGTTACAAACTAACGTTGGCTGACAGCGTTTAGCAAAATTAATGTTAGGCAACACATATTACTTTTAGATGACATCTGGGTTGCGGGACATTTATTGTAGGCAATACACACTACCCCACGAAGCGTAAGTGACAGCTTTGACGTAAGAGGATATATATATATATATATATATATATATATATATATATATATATATATATATATATATATATATATATATATATATATATATATATATATATATATATATATATATATATAGTTGACAGAAGCGACGACAAGTTATTATTTTTACAGGTTAACCAACATAATTTACAATCTCGAATAGATTTTTTTTTCAACGTAAAAGAGGTTAGGAATTGACGACTCCCCCATGGGGGTTATGTTCATCGGCGCGTCTCCGCGTGGCGGGCCCCCGGGCAGCCGATCGTTCAAAGCGGGGGTTATGTTTACCTCGGCGGCGGAAATCCTCATCGGGGCAATTGACGGATCGACCGTATGACACACACACGGACAGCTGACAGATGATGACAGACACCTGACAGATGACAAATTCTAATCTAACCGCCAGAGGGCGCCGCCGCCGCAGCCGATGGCCTTTTTCTCCCGCGTTCCACAGCCAACAAAACTGACAACGAAAAGAAGAAGAATTGACAACTAATAAAAAAAGAAGAAGAATTGACAGATGACACATTGACAGATGACACATTGACAGATGACACATGTAGGTTAGCCAACTTCGTGGCTATGGCCGCGCATGCGCAGTAAAAAAGTTCCCAGGCTCAACCGCCGCGACCCCTGCTGCGGCATGACGCCGTCCTGCTCAGCTAAGCGGATTCAAGAAAACCATTCCCATTTAAATACGCTGGTTGGATAAAATCGTCAAAACGCGACGGTCCGCTCACCGCGACGAAGTGTTCAAAGACGGCTCCGATTTTTTGGTAAACATTTTAAAATGGTTAGAACACCATAATGAGAAATGTTGCAGCTTAATTAAAAAAAATCTCAAATTATGTCTTATTTTAAATGCCTCCAGTTTAACATCGACTTACTATTTATTCGTATTTACTTTTAAACAGTAATAAACATAAATACCATTTATCTTCTATTAGAATTTTAAAAATCTTTAATATGACATCGAATTAAGTTTAATACTACATAACCAATTTATTACTTACCTATCTAAAATGAATAATACTGCTTTCTTCACTAGAATTTTAATGGAAAGATGATTTATAATTGAACTACTAGTAAATATACACTTATTTTAAAATAGCTATGAACTCCGAGTGCGACCAATGTTGCTCGATCTTGTTGGAAAAGCTTTGAGAAACGTGATGAATAAAACAACCATACTTTTTGAGATCTGCCTAATGACTAACTGTCATATCTTTATTTTAATATGAACATAGAACAAAGCATAGACAGTTGTATGATTCACATAAAACACAAAAAGGTAGTTACAATAACATACAATAAATGGAACCACACATCAGTAAATCTAGGTAACGAGGTAATAATTTACCCCGTTTTCAATATTACAACCAACAGATCTAACCGCTCGAACACCTTATTAAGGGATCCACGACACGACTTTTGACCCTTTTTTGTTCGCACACAGCAAGCAACATCAGTGAATTGGTCACGGGTAACGGAAAGTATATTGAAAGCCAATAATGGACTGCCAAATTATGATTAGGACAACAGAAACAAAAGGATCCATATGAAAGTTATAAATAGACGTGAAATATAATATCTTATTTATTAAAAATAGTATGGGTAGATAACGTAATACACCTTCATTTTATATTTATATATTGGTTTCCTCTTGAACTGGGGGGCTGTAGCCGTGTATCCCTTACATGCAAGCCGCCACTGATTGTATTAAGTTTTTTTATATTTTACTCCACTAAAACAAGTCAGAGTTACATTTTTTTTTTTAGATTTTCGTTTCATAATTTTTTTTAATATTAATAAATTTAATATAACGGGGTGGGTGGCTCAGTGGTAGAGTCTCTGCCTGCGGATCCAAGGGTCTCCGGTTCGAATCCCACCGTTGGCCGGTTTTTTTCATTTAATTAAATTAAAATTAATTCTGATGCCTTGGTAGGATTCCCCACTCGACCATTTACCGTTGGGTACTAATTAACAGTGCTGTTCCTAAAGTGGCACTGGGAAACAGCAACAAAGCCTACACAGAACACGAGGCTAATAACCGTAGCAGTTGATGCCGATGACACCAAAAAAAAAATAAATTTAATATTAATAGGTATAATCCTATCCCCTATGACATCTCATAATTTGGATAATTTCCAAGCCTTACGAGTAAAAAGTTTTTTATGTTTTTCTGAAAACTACTTTATGTATGAATGAACGCTCCTAAGTTCAGTTGTAAAATGTCACATAATATAAACTGACCAAGACTCACCCAGTACATAAACCGAGCATGTAAGTATACTTTATGTTATTGAAATGCGCACACTTCGTCCTAATTGAATTTTATAGTTTATCAATTGACAGAAAAACTGTTGGTTTAAAATATTCAAGGTATTTCAAATCTAGTTTAGTAAATGTGCCTCACAGAATGTATCAAAACACTTTCTCTTTGAATTTTTTAAATTTATAAATCGGGGTAAATTTGTAGAAGGAGACGGCCAGTCGTTGTTTTGAACGAATAAAGTGTGGATGTTAAAGTTTTCGATTAAAAAAAGAATAATAATAAAAAGGTAAAGCTAAATTCAAACTATTTTTTTATTTATAATTTTGAAGTGAAGAATTTTATATTTTTCTTTTCCTTGCGGATTATGCTAATAAAATTATAAAACCAAAAAATTTATTATACACGTATTGTTGACGATCATTTCTGTCAATAATTCAAGTAAATAAAATAATTTCAGAATATTTATAAAAAATATAATAATAATATATATAACAAGTAAATTTTTATCTTAAACCACATAACTGTATACAAAATAAGTTATAATATTAACTTGTCAACAACTATATTGACTAAACAATATCTTCATAGAATATTATATATTTGGCATTCTATATTCTTCACAGTTTAACAGACCCTGTTAACTCTCCGTTTTTTTTGCAGTCAGTTAGCTTCATCCACTTATAGAGCTTGATTTTAACTAAAAAAAAATGTTGGTATCGTTTTCCGTGTTTGAATTTCTGATTTATTTTTAAATTTCAGCTCCCTAACCCCCCGGCTGTATCCTCTCATAGAGCTTAATTTTTATTCAAAATTTCAAGTTGATAAAAATTTTTCGCTTTTGAGTTCGACTTTTTTAATAGTTCCACACCCTTAACCACCCATTTTTATTCTGATTTTTTTTGTAGAATCAATAGGCTTCATAGCTTGATTTTTACTAAAAAATTTAATTTTTATATCGCTTTTTGTTTTTGATTTATGATTTTTTTTTATTTCAACCTTAGATAAAAGAGACCAGAGATATAACATACATCGGTTTTTAAACCTGCGCAAATGTTGCCAATTTCTAAAGAAGGGTTAACGGAGTGGAGGAACTGGGCGGCGACACGCGGCGACCCGAACTCTGTGACAGGGACCGGACTTTGTTTATTAGCATCTTAATGAACTATTAGGTTTATTTAAAAGGTGTTTAATCGAATTTTGTATTACGAAATAAAATTAACGTGATTTTTTAATATCAAACAGATGCCACGACATTTTATGTAAAGAGAAGACCTTTTATAGAATATTTCGTTAGCGTTTATTTACTACGGACTTTTCTGCAAGAGATTACAGTAAAATGTTGAAATAGAATATATTGTTAATAGAGCAAAAAATGTTACTCATTGTCTACGAGTATTATAAAAATAGCATGTGCGCAGGCTAATACTGCAAATCTACCCTTATGAGTTGAACATTATATTTTTTCTACGGTTATTACATATTATTAAAAATTAGTCAAAATTAGAAAATAATGTTTTGTATTGTAACCTCAGAAAAAAGTATATTAAGGCTTCTTTCTTTAAGAATATTAATTATTATAAAGGATGAGTCACATAAACTCTAGAAATGCATATGTCTGAAACCAGATAACATTTTAAAATTTAAATCTATTAAAAGTCATTTGGTCGCTAGGGATGACTGATTATCGAAATAAATTATCGATCATTGAAAATAATCGATTATTTTCGATCAATCGATTATTTTCAAACAATATATTTTTTGTCATTTCCTTTAAAATCGACTACTTGATTATCTTTGAAAAATCAAAAATAATCGATTAATTAAAAAGCCAATTAACCGATAAATCAGTGTTTACAAAATATAAAATAAATAGAATTATCGTTTATTTTAAATAATCGATTATTTTCAAATAAACCATTTTTTTTCGTCCATGGAAACAGATTATTCTATAATCTTTAAAAAATCGAAAATAATCGAATAATCAAAAATAATCGATTAATTAAAAAGTCGATTAACTGATAAATCGATTTAAAAAAAAAACAGAATGATCGATTATTTTAAATAATTGATTATTTTCGATCAATCGATTATTATCAATAATCTATTTTTATTGTATTTCCTTTAAAATCGTTAATTCGATTATCTTTGAAATACCGAAAATAATCGATAATTCCAAAATAATCGCCTAATCGAAAATAATCAATTAATTAAGAAGCCGATTCTATGATAAATCGATTTTCGAAAAAATAAAACGAATTATCTATTATTTTCTAATAATCCTTTTTTCATATTTCCTTTGAAATTGATTATTCGATTATCGAAAATAATTGATTATTAAAAAGCTGATTATCCAATAAATCGACAATTTTAAAAAAATAACAAAAATATCGATTATGTAAAATAACCGATTATATTCAATCGATTATTTTCATATATCTTTGAAAAATCGAAAATAATCAAATAATTAAAAAACCGATTAAACGATAAATCGATTATTTTGAATAAATCTACTTTTTTTGTATTACCTTTAAAATCGATTAATGCATTATCTTAAAAAAAAAAACGAAAATAATTTATTAAAAACAGCGGATAAATCGATTTTCATTAAAAAATATCAGAATTATCGATAAATCGATTATTTTTGTAACCCCTATCGGTCGCTTGCTTTTATCTGAGCATTTAGCTCCAAAATTTAGAGATTCGGATTTTTTGATCCAGTTATCTTTGAAATCGCATTCGATTGTATAATAAATAAATATTGCTAAATTTTGGATTTTTTTTAGTAAACGAAAATTATGTTCGAGTTGTTTAGGGGTTTGTAATGTAACATTTTATTAACGTGACTAAGGGTCGATTCCACCGTTGTGTTAAACGAAGTTTAAAATGACATTTTTACATTAACACTGTCATTTTAATCTCCGTTTAACACAACGGTGGAATCGGACCTAACTCCTGTAACTTTGGTATTTTTTTTGGGCTTATACTAGATTACTTTGTTTTAAGACTGAAAATTCAATGTCACTTTCGATTTGACCGCAAATAAGATGATGAACCTTGAAATTTTAAGTAGGTCATCCTGTATTTCATCTAATATTCTTATAAAAATACCTTATAAAAATACCTTATAAAAATAAAATTTAGCTAGCAACTATGATTCTTTACCTCTTATTTATCTACCAAAAAGGCCTAAAAACTACCTTTAGAAAACATTCTTATAAAACTACTTACTATTTATTTAAATTAAATGTTCAAAATTTTACCCTTTTGTAAATTTATGTAAGTAATATGAAATCTGATTTCTGATGCTTAATATTTATTGAAACCCCTTGATGCGGATCTGAAGTATTCAGCCCAGAGAATCATGGCGCTTTATGTCAAAACGTTAATAAATATTTACCGCTGAAAACGAATATATTCATAACAGTAGTACTTGTATTATAAGTACATACAATTTTTCAAGATACATCGTGACATTTTGAACTTGAAATTGAATAACTAGAACACTTTAAATTGCTAAAATACCAACAAATAAATCAAAAAACAGCTGTCAATGGTGATTAAACTCAGGTGGAGGTGATCGCTGAATGGAAATCGGAGCAATTCGGGTGGCGTCGTGCAACAATGATTTTCAATTGGTGGGTTACTTTGGCTTAAAATAGACAACATGCGCAGTGTGCAAGGTTACATCTTCGGTCTCTTTAATCTAAGATTTCAACACTCCCATTTTTATTCATAGCCTTCATCCCCTTAGAGAGCTTAAGTTTTTCTAAAAAATTTATGTTGATATCGTTTTTTATTTTTGTTTTTAATTTAAGATTTTTTTAAATCTCACACCCCTTAACAAAGCCATTTATATTCATAGACTTCGTCCCTTTATAGAGCTTTATTTTCCTCAAAATTTTAAGTTTTTCGTTTTCGATTTGAGATTTTTACTTTCCTATCTGTATACAGATATAAGGAAAGTATAGGAATCATGATTTTTTCTACCTCGAGTTTTCGACGGATTTTTACGTTTTGAGGTCCCTTGAATCCGTTTTGACTATTTTCGCGATAATGTCTGTGTCTGTGTGTGTGTGTCTGTGTTTGTGTCTGTGTGTGTGTGTCTGTGTCTGTGTTTGTGTCTGTGTTTGTGTGTGTGTGTGTGTGTGTGTGTGTGTGTGTGTGTGTTTGTGTGTGTGTGTGTGTGTGTGTGTGTGTGTGTGTGTGTGTGTGTGTGTGTGTGTGTGTGTGTGTGTGTGTGTGTTTGTGTGTGTGTGTGTGTGTGTGTGTGTGTGTGTGTGTGTGTGTGTGTGTGTTTGTGTGTGTGTGTGTGTGTGTTTGTGTGTGTGTGTGTTTGTGCCGCATAACTCATGAACCGATAAACAGAAAAACACAAAATTTTAAACTTAAGCTTTATTCCAGCGTCCAATAAACTGATTAGATTTTGGGAAGAGTCGGAACATCTGGGGGGTACTTTATGGGTGGTCATTTTTATATTTTATGGAATATATCTGTTATTTACGTTTGGAGAAGAAAATTCTTTAAATAAAAGTTACTTCTAATATTATTGTCTATAATTTTTGTTCTATATAAAATTTTCCTAAAATGGTCCGTGATCGAGAAATTTGACAAAATGTAAAAAAAAATAATTTTTTATAAAAATTGTTTAAATAAAAGTCGTTTATAATATATTGACAAGGGGGGTAGCCATGTGTGAGTTGAGGTAATTTTAAGGTGAAGGGGGGAGAAAAAGTCCTTTATATCTCACAAGGAAAGTCAATGTTTAATTATTCAACAAAACATTGAGTGCGACCGGTTTCGAAGTATCATCACTTCATCTTCAGGCTCGCCTAGTGGAAAGGAGAATATGTGGTGTAAGGTGTGTTGACTTTGAACCCACAATATATAAAATAGTAAAAAATAGAAAAACTCACCATACTCTCCATCCACTAGGGAATACTACAGACAAGTTTCATCAAAACGTGGGGGATGAAATATATTGTAAAACAAAACAATGTTACAAGTTATAAAAAGTTAAAAATATTTGAAAAACAAATATTAGTCGATATAAACAGTTAAAAATTTTAAAATATTCAAGACTATACAAAAACAAATCACATCTGTTTAATGTATGTGATTTGTTTTTGTATAGTCTTGAATATTTTAAAATTTTTAACTGTTTATATCGACTAATATTTGTTTTTCAAATATTTTTACCTTTTTATAACTTGTAACATTGTTTTGTTTTACAATTTATTTCATCCCCCACGTTTTGATGAAACTTGTCTGTAGTATTCCCTAGTGGAT